TTGATTGCAGGCATCCAGGTAAGTATTGTTCTTCAGTCGGTGGCATCCAGGTAAGTATAGTTAAAATTGAAATCCTGGTTAGTATGGTTATTCATCAGTAGCCAGAATTATAATAACGATCACTGGCATCCAGGTAATTATACTTTTATTAAAGATAAACATAAACATGAATTTCTTTTCAAAAGGAAAATAACAAAAAATTTCCCTGATTAAAATTGGATATGTCTCTTCATGTAAGTATTTTTGCACAAAAATAGGATAAGGAGGGCTCATTACCAACAGTATAGGAAGACTGTAGGCTCTCCACACAAAAGTTCTCTTCACATTTGCTTCTCCACACAGAAAATGTTTAATTTTTCGGCTTTATATAGTGTTTTCAAGCGCACGCTAAGCCTTGCGGTTCGCCACCTTTTGTACTGCCGTTCACGAGGATTCTATTTTTTTTAGTATGTTAAAGAATATGTTGAGAATAAAGGTTTAAAAAAATACCACGATTTTGTCACGTTGGCATTCTAGATTTGTTTTATGGTATCATTAAACTCACTTTTCGTACTCGTACTTAAGTCTTTATTCCAAAAAAATCTTTCTCAATCAAGTCGAAAATATTTACGTTTCTTTCATTAGAACTGATTAAGTTGAGTTCAAATTTCAAAATTTAATTTCAATAAGTTGGTTCTCAGATGCGTCGTACCAATACTCAAACATCCAACAAATGCAAATTATATTATTGAAACTTAGAGCAGTGTTGAAAAGTTTATTGAAGTTTCTTTTCCTGTCATTCAAACCAGTATTGAAAAATGCAAAAATGTGGAAATGTTTGGTATATAAGGAGGTTTTGTGCCAACCAGAATCAGTTACATGCTGCCTTTCAAGTAGGGTTGTTGGTTTTTGAAAAAATATCGTATTGATGATATTTGCTGTGAAAAAAATATCAATCGATAATATTAAGAAATATCACCAAAAAAAATCGATATATCGAGTATTTTTGATATTTTTTATGGTCAGCTAAAATTGAAAAAAGGTGGTTTGTAAATTTAAAAAAAGGTTTTAATATGTGTTTTCATCCGCCATGAACTGCAAATAAGAGCTATTTTTTATTTAAAAAGTGAATTGAAAAACAAAAAATATTTATACCCACTCTCAAGCAACTTTTATTTACGTTCTTTGAAATAAAAAATAACAAAATTATTAAGGACATAGTATTCAAATTTATTTATAAAAAAACATAATATAAAAAAAAAACTTTTAAAAAACTTAATTAATTCATGAAATATGTACTAAATAATGCTAATTACTTAATTCTCGTATTTAATGCTCCTAATTACTCTAAATTACAAAACAAATCTTTCTTCAATGATTTTAAAAAAACTCTTTCGGTTATATGCTGGAACCGAACTTCCAGGCGTGATAAGATAACTTAATGCCAATTTCTGGCTTAAGAGTGACCAAACATAAAATATCGGAAATACCAACTCAAAAATATTATTATCGACTATTTTTGCCCAAAAAATATTCCGATAATAATATTTTTTTTAAGAGAAAATATATCGATATATTGATATTTTGATATATTTCCGAAATCCCTACTTTCAAGCAGCTTACAACTCACTGTTCATTCTCCGCTTGGGTCTGATTTGTTTTTTTTAAATTTTTATAATATATGTACCTTAAGTCTAGTATCATATTAATTCATATTAAAGAAAATAAACCTAGTTTCTTAGCTAACGTTTATTGGAACTGCTTTAGTAAAAATGCTTGGGGGTCGTGAAAAAAATTCTCCAATTTATAGGAAGAATCACGAAAGGGAATGAATTGTTAGCACACAAGCTAAATGTTCTACTCAACAAAAATTTTTACCGTTCTAAACTTTGGCGCCAATTTTACGGCAAAATAAAAAAAAAACAAAAAAGTAAAGCTAACTCCGGGCGGAGCCGAAGTTGAAATACCCTTGCAGCTAAAACCGGATATATATCGCAAACATCGGATATAGTTGGTGATCCTTATGATTACATCATAATAAAACCAATTAATTACAATAAAAAATCTAAAAAAAAGTCGCAAGCTTCTATTTTCAAAAATAATAAGGTTGGTATTTCTACCAAAAACCATTTCCGATTTTTCAGTTATATGGCCCGAAAGACATCCAATTGTGATATTGAAGGACGTCCGTTTTGCTGAGCTGCAAACCTTAGTTGAATTCATGTACAAGGGCGAGGGGAACGTGCAATATTGTCAGTTGTCCGCGCTGCTCAAAGGTAAGACAAAGGACAAAGACTCAAAGGATTCCTCAAGGTAAGACCAAAGACTAAGTTAGGAGAATTCTTAATAAGAATTGCTAGAACAGTCTTCTTAAAAAAGTCATGAAATATAAACCCCAAAAAAGTATGACCTCGAATAAATACATTACAACTACACACAAAAAAAAGTGTAGCCATATATTTTTAGACTGAGAAAATAACGCTTAAATACCTTGTCACTAAATAAGACCTCTCTCCCATTAAGGCCGTAGGACATTTTTTTCTTGACAGCTTTTCCTTGTGCCGAGCGTCTGTGATTTCAATCAGAAGCAGTTGTGGCATCAAACGCACCACATCTAGCTCCTCACTTATTTCTGTTTTTATTTTTCTTTTTTTGGTTTTTTATTTTTGATTATTTTTCTAAAAACATTCTGATTTTCTTATTGTATTTTTTTTTATTAATGACCAAGAGTTGTTACAGTCACCTTGTCAGCGACGGGAAGTCCTGGGCCTTATTTTTTTATTTTCGTTTAAATACCCAAGGCTTCATATGGATATTTTTCAAAATTGGATTTTAATTTATTTTGTTTTTTTTTAATGATATTTTTGACAACAACAATTGCAACAACAATTATTAAGGGTCCGTTTGCGCACAACCATCGCGAGGGTGGTGGTTGTTGTTGTAATTTGTTGTTTGGCCGAGCTGCGGCTCCGACCGTTAGATCTCGTGCCCACCACTGCATTAATTAATTCTTTTTAATTTTTTTTTTATCAATACTTACTATGGGTTGTTCTGCATCTGTGTTTTAGGTTGTTTACTAATTACTAAAGATTGTTCGGCACCGATTTTTTATGTTTTTTATTTATTTTTTTTTTTTTATTATCAATCATTCAAAAGTTACATTTAAAATCTGTCGGGAATTATGAACAATAATTAAATTTTTTAATGATACCTCAGCTTAATGGAATATTGAGTAATATGTTATAATGAATGATGCACGATTGAAAGCTGTTTTATCGCTGGGGTACCTGGTTTGGAACCAAATCCTTCTCCGTCGTCTCTTCTCATTGAGGAGTGCAGCCACTTCAGAAGACCACAGGTGTAAATGCCTTTGCAACTTCCTATTCTTGCATGGAGCCCTAGGAGTTGCAATTAAGGCAGCGTTGTGCATCTCTTGAGTGAGATTCTTAACATTTCTCATTGATTTTTTAATTTTAATATTTTGTTCACAATACTTACTATAATTTGTGTTTTGCGCACTTCTTCGGCTTGCGACGGCATCTATTCTTCAGGATACTTATTTTCTCATTTTAATTTTTTAATTTTTTTTTTTACTATACTTACTATGGGTTGTTCTGCATCTGTGTTTTAGGTTGTTTACAACTTACTTACTAAAGATTGTTCGGGACCGATTTTTTATGTTTTTTATTTTCGGACTTTTTTTTTATTTTTTAATTATTATTTTTTCTTTGACAATACTTACTATATTTTGTGCTTTACATTTGTTCTTGTCGTGGCTCCATACGGCACATATTCTTCAGTATTCTTATTTTCGAGATTTTTTTTGTTTTCTTTATTTTGTATTAACTTTAAAGCCCTCTGCAAAGACATAAAATAATATTATTATATTATTAAAAACAAAGGCAAACAAAATCTATAAATATTGTTAAACTAAGAAGGTTCGAAGAGACTAAAGAACGAAAAATCTAAGGAAAGTATAAAAAGATGTAAACAAAAATATACTAAAAAAAATGCTTTTAAATAATTAAAATATTAATTTATAATTAATAAATATTAATATTAAAATATTAAATATTAATAAAAAAAATATTTTTAAAAAATATTAACAATTTTAAAAATCACTTTTCAGGTCAAAGGCCTCGCCGAGATGACAAACCAGAACACGACGCTGCGTGAGGCCGAGCGGGAACTCGGCCTGCGTCCTCAGGGCGGCGGAGGCGGCAGCGGCGGTGGCGTAGCCTCAGCCCACAAGGTGGCCGACAGTCTGGCCACGGCGCTGGACGCCACAGCAGCAACTCAGGCGGCGGCCACAGCCACTGCCACGGCAACGGCGGCAGCGGCAACATCAACCTCAGCCACATCTGCAGCGGGGCAGCAACAGGTACAGGAGCTACAGCAGTAGCAGTAGGGAGCAGTAGCAGTACAACCACCACCAGCAGCAGCAGCACCAGCACAACCACATCCTGTGCCACATCCACAGCACAGCGCCACCAAGACACCTCCTCAGATGACGTCCTGGACACTCACAGAGTCAAGGACCAGGTGCAGCCGGCCGACGAGCTGCTTCAGGAGGAGCTACTGGCCGGTGGCCGAAACGAGGAGGACGACGACGACGACCACCACCACTTGCCCCACCGGGCGAGGCGGGACAACGATCGTCTGGCGAGGAGGATATGCGCACCACCACCTGGTGGACGAGAGCCTGCCGGTGATCGCCAAGACGGAGATCTTCGACGAGGACTACGACAACGAGATGGATCTGGACGACGACGACGAGGCCGACAACAGCAGCAACGACCTCGGCCTCAACATGAAGATGGGCGGATCCGGGGGCGGTGGCGTGGACCTGTCCACAGGCGCCACCCTGATACCCTCGCCCCTGATCACTCTGCCCTCCTCCTCGACGGCGGCGGCAGCAGCAGCAGCTATAAGATATAGTCGGCCGATCGTTATGAAAATAAATAGGTTGGATCAACTTATCAAAATTAGAATATGTACTAAGTTCCAGCTTTCTAAGAATGTCATCTTTATAAATTCTATTTATTGCATCATTACCAAAAAAAATTCATGTCAGTATTACATATTTGGCTAAAAAATTAATTTATACACAAAGAACACAAACGATTTTGGATATTGCTTGGTTGGACCAAAACAACATCGTAGCGAGCGAATCTGGCCCAATTACATTGAGCATTTGACCTGAGTTGGAGTCGCTGGTGAGCTGAGTTTAATGGCACACAGACAGTTGTGTATTCCGATAGCTCCTGGTTAGATAAACTCAGTCTCGCATCGAGGGATCGGGCGCATTTTGTTTGTGATGATGCGCCGGCTTTGGAGGAATCTTAAAGGGCCGGATAAACTTGATGTTTGTCTTAAGGCAGTCGGGCAACAGACTCGGGGGCAGGAGGCTGTGCAGAAAGAGATGTGTCAGGTAGCCGGTGATGCCCCAAATACGATAGTGATCCACTGCGAACACAGGTCCGCTGTAACCGCTTCGGAATTGCGTGTGCCGTGTGGCCTTTGGCATGATCAGTGAGTTTAGTGGAACAACGAAGGCCTCCTCCACTTCCTCCATATTGAGACGCAGCTCGGATACATGAAAATCGGGCACCACACCCACTACCGGTACAATAGACGAGGTACGGGGCAAATGCAGCTCTTTGGCCTCGCCCCAAATTTCAATTCGGTTGCGTGGCAGACCGATCTCCTCTTCCGTTTCCCGTAAAGCACAATCCACGTTGCTGGCATCGTGCGGGTCTCGTTTCCCGCCTGGAAAGGATATCTGAAAGCTGTGACTGCGCAGGTGTCGCGATCGTCGCGTATACAGTAAGGAAACTAGGTTCCTATTATAAAAAGCAAACTATTAATCAATATTTAACATAAAACACGTATGTAAGTATAATTACCAGATAGAGCTCTATATACTTTAAATGTATCTATGTCTACAGATCAAGAACCTTTAAAATATATGCATATATTGGATAGTCTTTGCAGCTTATAACACTTCAGATTTTATAAAAGGTAAATAAATATCAGAAAAGACCAAACAAGATACTTCTCTCGACTTTAGGTCATGTCTTAAGTGATCTCAAAATAAAGGAACTTGTTTATGTAATTAAAAATTAAGATACAAAATGTATATATTCAGCTCTACCCAGACAGAACTTACGATTCCCGCTCTTGGCACAGGGCAATGAGAACCGAAGAGGTGTTCTTCTCATGCCTGTTCGGAGTGAGGGTCTTGGGACGCGGAAAGGCGGGCAAATTCCGCATCTTTTCCATGCACCTCTGTTGATTCTCTGGCTCTAGGATCGACTTGTAATCGTCGGAGCTCAGATGCAGATGATCCGTATGAGGTGGAGGAGAAACATTGGGCGGCAAGGAAACGGCCATCGACTCCGCCATGGAGGTCCCAAGGAGACGATACTGAGGACCCAGGGGATTCAGCACCTTTAGATGCGCCATCATTAGCTGGGAGGTAGTGCGATTCGCCAACACCAGGCCGCGTACGTTGGCCAGAGACATCTTCGTGTTGACAACAAATTTGTTCCTATTATGTGTATTATTATGAATTCAATGCTAAATGATGTAAACAAATGAATGAAACGAACTTTGGAATTGAGTGGAATAACATCGCGTGCTGTGCTGTTAAACGCAAAGGCTGAACTGTTAACACGAAGTATGAAGAACCAATCAGCTGATTCTACAGCTGTTATAATAGAGCGCAATTTTTGAAATAATTAAAAATTAATTTTGAAACAAAACAGAAAATATTAATTTTCAACAACTTGCTTATTTAATTTTATGCGATTTATCATTAAAAAAAATACTTCACAAATGAAATAATGTATCTATTTTCTGTTTCAATTTTTTTACTTCATTGAACAATAATTTGTTGTTTTTTATGCAATTAAATGGGTTTTAAACCAAAAAAAATATTTTTATGAATTCTTCTAATTAACTCAAGTAGAAAACACTTAATGATAAATTTTCAAAATTTCCTACCTAATAAAAAACCCCTAACTGTTTCATTTCATTTCTTTCGCATTTACAATAAAATACAATATTCATTTTTTAAAACGTTTTATTAAAATTTGTCATCGCTTTGGGAATCTGCTGCACAAAAAAATATATATTGCATTCATTTAATAATAATCGCCAGTGTTAACGCTAAATGTTTTCTGTTTCCTTAGGTAATCGGTATGCAAAATGTTAGTTTGTTAGTCAATCGATAATTGTCGACTGCTTTTGGGGGGTTATCGCTTTGCTATCAATTTGTTATCGCCATGCTATCGCCCTTTCAAAATCCAGGTAAGGTACTGCTCACAATTTACAACTATTTAAACATTACTTTCGTTATTGGCGGCCGTCTGTTTGGCCACCGAGCCGGCTGCCACTCGGGTTCGGGTGAATTTGCTAATGGACGTGGGCGATGCCGTAGAAGCAGCAGCAGCAGCGGCGGCGGCAGCATCCAAATGAAGGCTATTGCCGGCCGGATAGACACATCCTTTACGACGGCGTCCTGCCGGCGAACCAGAGTTCCTATCACCGATTTGTACTAGACTGGGCAGGTCTTCGCTTCGGGTGAAAACGAACTCCTCGGACGAGAGGCGCTTCCTCACCCGTCCGCCGACCACATCCGGTCGTTTTCCGTTACTCATTGGCGATGGGGAGGCGGGCGCCACCAAGGCCGGGGTCTCCAGGCCAGAGCCAACGCCAAGAACTGGAAAATGTGACTCCAGTACCCCTGGACGCATCAGTATCTCTTCGAGATGGGGTCCGCCATTCTGGCGTGCTGGCGTGACGAATTGCTCCAGCGAGGAATTGGCACTGTAGAAGCTCGTGTCCGTGGAACCCAAGCCCAATCCCAGACTGGCGCCCGTTCCGCCCGCGAGATCACTGCACTGACCGTGCTGGGAGCGGGTGCAGCATCCGCTCTGAGCATCCCGGCCACATGGACAATGCGGACAGAGTCGCAGACAATGATCATCCGCCAGGATGTCGCTATCGCTGAAGGTTAACTTCTTGACCGGCTGTGCCTCCCTGGACACATCCGGCTCACCTTCCAACGGATCTGCGGACTTGGAGGTCTGTGGCAACTGGGGCAACCTTTGCAGACTGTGCGCCGAGGCTGACTCGAAACTGTCGTCACTGGAGTCCAGACTGTGGTCCGGATAGATGCGCGGGAAGGTGACAAAGACCCGGCCCATACGCTTGTACTGATCCAGATTCCTGGTGTCTTCGGCACATCCTGCCAGATTTTCCGTGAACTTGGGAGCCCGCCGCATCACCTTGGGCGTGTGCAGTTGCGACTCGAAGATATCTTCGAGAGGTACCTTGTGGGGGCCAACTGCCACTCCCATGTGATGCAGATACCGCTCAATACTGTTCGCCAGGCTGATGGGCACGCTGGTGCGCGATGAGACACTGGAGATTTCCGAGAGCGTTTCCGGGCTGGCCAATGGTGCCAGTCCGTACCAGTCGTCGTGCAGTAGATCTACTCCGGCCCCTGCATCCGAAGCTCTACGCAGAGCCTGACGTTGGGCGAGTGGCAGAGTGCGAGGTTTCTTTTCCGAGTGCTGACGCTCGAGCAGCGACCTTTCGCCGGACTGGCGCCCCAGCAAGGACCTCTCGTCCAGCTGGTGCCCGAGTAGGATCGGAGGCGGGGTTGGGGCCATATCGAAAGCCACCGCTTTGAGCCGGGGCACTGGTATGTCCTCCGAGTCCGGTTCGTGATTAGCAATCACCGTGCCTGTCGTCTCCGAACTCATTAGGGATGGACTCTGCCGCAAGGCCACCGTGGCCAGGCTGTCGTCCAAAGCGCTTGATATGTCATATGGCGTATGGCTGCGACCCATAATGCTGCCCGCCAGGGAGGAGGCCTTGCTGCCGCGCGGTGGCATGGGTTGGAGGGGCATCGCACCACTTCCACAGCCCGATCCATTCGTAAAGGACGTCTCCAAGCAGAGCTTGTGCTGGGCACTCGGCGTTAGTGGCAGGCAGTTGCTCAGATTCGTGTAGGAACTTTGCGAGGGCCGTTTGCAGTGAGTCCGGCCATGATTCGTTTCTGTTTCAATTTCCGTTTCCGTTCCGGAGTGCGGTCTCATCGGATCCGGTTCGCCATTGGTGCTGCTATGAGCCAGCTCCTGGTGATCCGTTTCGTGACCTTCGTTCGATGCTGTGGAGAAGGCATTGGATGTCTGGCGCTGGGGCTTGCGTGGCCCACTCGTTGTTACAACCTAGAGTAGAAGTGTCATAGATTAAAAATCATCCTGTACTTTTGAATCCATCTTGAAAATATGTATGTAGTTTAAAGTCCTACTGAAACTTTTAGTCGATTAATTGATTGATTGCCAGATACATTTCCAATATTTATCGAAGTAATCGATCAATCGTTTATCCAGCAATCGAATCGATCAATCATGCTTTATACAGCTGGTGGTTACATTTAAATGGCGATATGCAGAAAGAGACGAATATGTATGTTGCGAGCGAGAGAGATAGAGAAAGCGAGCGAGAGTGGGATGCAAGTATGTATGTACAGTCGGACACGTGAACGAGAGTGAAAAGGACAGATGCATATGCAGATAGCGTGTGACTAAGTACAGTTGAGTCAAGGAGCGAGTGGGTGGTACAGTTGCGCATATGGATTAATAGTTCGTTTTGGTGGGAGGGGGGAGTGAGGGTGTTTGTCTGGGTGGGGTGGATTAGTGGGAGCTTACGGGTGCGAGACACAATATCGATATTCGTTGTACATACACAGCGATTTCAATTACATTTAGAGATAATACAAAATAACAGGTTGTTTTTGTTTTATTTGTTTGAGGTTAGGTTGAGAGCGGGAGAGAGAATATACATAGAGAGAGATAGAGAGAGAGAGAGAGAGACTTGTAATTCGGTTGACATAATAAGAAATTTTGTTTGGTTTTTTTTTTAGAGAGAGCAAAATGGAAAGTTGCTTTAGTTCATTTGTTTAATGATTTAATTCGAGATTGGCGGTTTATTGTTTTTTTTTATATTATTCTTATATAGAAGTTGGCGGGCAGCTGTACCTGGTATCAGTATTTTGTGTTGTCGTAGTTGTTGTTGTAGTTGTAGTTACTGTCGTGTTATCATTACGTCTACGAGAGGTACATGCCTTTACGGTTCGATCTCTACAAGACACGACCTGTGCACATCATCGGGTAAGATCGGTAACGATATTTGTTTATCGTAATTATCGTATTTTATCGGAAATAGTTATGTTTCGAAAAGAAGCAAAACAAGAAGCATTATTAAGTTCATCAGTTTTTACACAAAATTCGACTTAATTAGGTTTTTGAGTACGATCGGGATGGGTCGGGAAAACTCGACTTGGGGGAGTCAGACGAAGGTCCTTTTAGCTAGGATCCACTACTCTCTCACTGGCATCTAAGCATACAACCTTTCCCCAGCTAAGCCATTACATAAGCTTCACAACATTTCAACCAACAACCATTCCCATGCAGCAGATGTATCGTGTTTATGTCGGTGTTTTGTGGACACAAAGCATAAAATATGAAATCAATAAACTTACCAAATCAAATCCGCATAAAAATTAAATTAAATTATCATTTTGCAATAAATTTCAAACCAGATACTAGCGGTGATAACTACTGGGGTGCTTCCAAAATCCAAAAATAGCTATTGAAGTCTTGAAATCATTTTTCTAGTAACTTCATAGATACCCACACAACGCCTGATTACAATAAATAATAAAAAGCAATAATTCAAAATAAAAATTTGTATATATTGATCATCATAAAAATAAAGAAATCAATCCAGTTGAAATCCGGCTAAGGAATCGGCTCAAAAGTGAGTTATTTCGTGGAGAGCATTTTGTGACACAGAGATTGGGGAGACGAAATTCAAATTACATTTGTTCAGCTTACTCGTTAAATGGACAGACACAGGGATTACTTAGGCGAATTACAAACAAAATACAATACAATTTAAATACATAACTTAGGCGTAATTGTAAACATTCAAAGTCCATTGTCAAGGCCCTAAATACAAAATAGTGGACTGGCTAAGTATCGGTTCAATGTTTCTGTTTCATTAACTTAAATGACAATAAATTAACACAAATAATATGGTAACATTACTCGAAATTATAAACGATAAGCAATAACTCTTAGACTAGATAGCATTAACGTAACCGAAATATACATTAAGATAGTAAGGCATTTATGCTTGTCATGACTGAGGGAGTGTGTTCTTTTGTGTTCAAGTGGCTTTGCTTTATGTTTTCAAGTGTTCTTGGTATTTTTTTTCTTAGAAAGTTTTCTTGTTTTTCTTCCTTACCCCCCCGAAAACATGAGGCTAGACTAGTGGGCAAGGTAGAGCATACAAGAACTAACTAGATCGGTGCTGCGTACTCTATATAGTATGTATGCTATACATATACGTTTGCTCTAGGGTCTATAGTTAGACTATATATATATATATATATGTACGATTCAAGGACAACGACGACGACCACGGTGTACTAGGTGTACTAGGAGGGTACGGGTGATTCATTCCCATTCCCATTCAACTCCAGTCCAAAATAATCAGATCAACTGGCTGTGGAGTAGCTGTGCTCCGAGGAGCTGGGCCCGTCCTCGAACTCTGAAATTACCTTTTTGAGA